GCAGGCGCTGGAATAATTCCCGCTGTCCCCGGCGGAAGGCGCTGGAATTCCCGCTGTCCCCAGCGGAGGGCACTGCGGGATGGCGAGCGCCGGAGCCCCGGGCCCGCTGCTGCCGCTGCGCCCGCACGCCTCTGCCACCGCAGCCCCTGCCCGGTGCAGCTCCAGAATTGCTGTAAACCTTCTTTCCTCTACCTGCCTGCCGTAGGGAATGGGAGGAATGAGGAATTTTGCTCCAGCACGAGCCAATTCAGCCTCAGCCCTGCGGCACCCAGGGCCCGGTGGGCAGAGCCGGGCTCGGGGCTGCGGCCGCGGGGGCTCTGAGGGGACCCTGTGGGAGAAACTGCTCTGAAAATGGAGCTGGACTGGACACACAGCAGAGTCAGGAAATCCAGGTTCTCCTCCTAGACCTGCATTGAGGTTTCATTCGCCTGGGTATTATTACTGCAATTTCTGCCTCGCAAGAAGAAATTTGACTATTAATTCACGAGTGAACGTAAAGTGTTTTGAGATGACAGATAAGAGACTAGTAGGAGTGAAGAAGTGTTATCTCAGCCTTCAAAAAGCTTGGTTCAGCATTTGACCTTAGGTACTAGTTTCTGAGGTGATTTGACTATCCTTAGTCACCTCAGATTATTGCTCCACATTTTAATACCAGACACTAGTTATTTCCATACCACCACAGCATTTATTATGTGTGATCCTTTCTGCTGAACTAGTGAAACTCATATACCTGATTACAGTAATGATGGGCAGTTGTAAAATTTAAATAAATAGAGCTGTCTGAAGATTTCTAATTGAGTTCTCTTAAAGGGTGCCTAGAGCTCATCCTGACCACATGCAGGGAGGCTGCCTTGTTTAATGTTTTTTCTTTGGACTGACATTTTCAGATCTCTTTATTCTTAGTCTCATCCTATTGTTTCCAGGGTGACCTTTGTTGCCCAGCCTCTTTAATTCTAGGCACAGATGTGCTGTCCTTCCATACCATGCAGTTTTGGTATGCAGGACAAAAAAAGAGGGAACATGGCCAGGAAGGAGAGAGATTGCTCTTCACTTCCTTCCCTGTTGGGCCAGAAGCTGCATTGGCCATGGTGTGTAGGAGTGGGAGTGTGTGCCTGGAGAAGCACAGGCTGTGTGGCTCTGGAATGGGGTGCAGGAGCAGGGCATGCTCCAGGCAGGTTGTAACAGGCACTCTGGAGACTGGCTGGGATTCCACAAGCTGGTTTGACTGGTCCACACTGAGCTTTCCTCCAGCATGATCTTGGCTGCAGGTGAGTTTTCACTCCAGGAGCATCTTTTGTAATTTTTCAATGTACATTATCACTAGGTCTCTCTCTTCCCTCACATTAGGTGACCTGTCTATCCCAGGTAAAATGCCATGTTTTTATTGCTTAAGAGGGTTACCTTACAGTGCAGGCTAGATTTGGCTTTTGCACTGCATGTAGTGCTTGTGATGTAAGTGTGTTATGGGATCAAGAAGTGGTCTTGTACTGAATTTTCTATTTCAAAGTAGAGCTGGGGTTCTCCCAATGCCTTTCTTTCTCAGCTAGTGATTCCTTTTTAAATTTGGGCATTCTGCCTTATCTCCCAGTACCAGTTTCCTCTTGTAGAAAACTGTCATTGCTTTATTCTACAAGCCACTTTCAGGTGTCTAGAGATGTGTCCTCCTGAGGGAATCTGGAAAAAGCCCAGGCTCTGAAGCTGGGGTGAAAACACTGTGGGTAGGGTGTGCACAGAGGCACCTCTGCCTCTAGATTTCCCACCCCACCTGGGACAGCTTTGAGCATTTTACAATGGTTTGAATATTGTGAACACGTTCCTTGTGTGCCAGTCTAAGCCTTCCCAGAAAGCCTGATCACATTTGTATTATTAAAATATACAAGAATTTCCTAACTCCTCCTTTTCTTGAAGCCCCTTTCCAACCAAAAGATTGATTACTAAAGTTTCAGGGACTTCTCCTGCACAGGGAAAACTTTGGAGCCCACTTCCAGCTAGCTCCCAGGGACTGTGCAGCAGGGCCCAGGGATGTACTGTGTCCCTGCTGAGGCTCTGCAGCTCACCTGCTCTGCTGTGCCTCCTTTTAAGAGGCCCACCAGAAGCTAGGCCAGCTCTCTGGGAGGCTGCAGGGTTTTTTTAGTTTTTGCAGCAGGAAAAGAAAGATCTGTAAGATTTCCTTTCTGAAGCAGGAGCATGTAAAGTAAGGAGGGGTCCTAGGAAAAAAAAAAGGCAGGATTGGGAATAAAAACGTAAGAGAGCTCTCCAAAGGTATCTTGCTTATTAGAAAAGAAAAAAATCCCAAACCATGTTTTTGTGCTAACATGGTCACTCACCTGAGCAGAGCAGTTTGGCCTTTCTGTGGGAGGCTCTCAGTTGCCTTTATCCAGCCCCCCAAATGCTGCCATGCAAGTTGTGCTATGGGCCATATCAGTGACAGCAAAACTTCCCCTTACCTCTCCAGAACCAGTGGGTGCTGCCCTGCCCCTGGATGAGCCTCTGCAGCAGGGATGCTGTTGGCACTCCTGCTCTGCAGGCCAGGGCGTGGGCCATGGGGCACCTTGGGCTGTTTTCAGTAGCTCTCTGGCAGATTTACAGAGAAAGCAGTTTATCATCAGATCTTGAAAATTACCATGTAATTTCTATCACCTCACCAATGCTTTTTGGATCTTCATAGAAAATTTAACCTTAAAGTTTGATAAAGGGCATGCTAATAATGTGAAGTTCATTGTAGCTGTGGATTTTTATTTTTCATGCATCTAAATGCCTTGCTGGTGGTGTTTCTGATCGTTTTTCTTTATCTACAAATTTTATGCTGATTCACAAAAACCTGCACTTCTAAGTTAGCTTCTTTAGCTCCTTTTCCCCAGGTTTGTGTTTCTAGTGGTTTTAATTTTACCTGATTTTCATTTTTTTAACCTTTGCTTTATTACTCAGTCACTTCCAAAGCAGGCATCTTGTTTACCTGGCTAGTTCTGAGACCCCTCTGTTTTAGTTCACCTGTAGCCCCTCTTGGCTCATTCTGGAGGAGGTTAAGCCAAAGCACTACTTTTTTCTTTTACTAGAAATGCTTTTATCTCAGTGTGAGCAACCTGCACCAGCAGCCTGTGAGAGACCTATCTAAACAAATTCCCAGAGAGGAGTTGTGGCTGTACCTCTCCTCTGTCTTCCTTGCTGGAACCTGGTGGAGGGGAAGGAACTCAGATTTTTATCTGCAGAACTGATTGTGCTAGGTGGGTCTTCCCCAGCAGGAAAGGAAAGCTGACAGCTGGGAAAAGTGCCACGTTGATTTAACAACAACCTTGAAAAGAATGTTTCCAGCAATATAAAAAATAGTATGGCCTTTTCAACTTACTGCTATATCAATATTCTGATGCTGGTCAGTTGGTGCATAAATAGGTACCATGTGTAAATCCCAGGGGAATTTCCTTTGCATTTAAGAAGTTAAAATTATTTTTCCCATCAAGTAGTTAGTTAGCATTTTAAATTACTCCTTTTCATGTTCCTGGCAACTTTGTAGAAGTGGGGTCTATTAAGTCAGGAGATCTTTGAAAGGGACACCAATAATCAAGTCAGTGCTCAATGAAACAAGGTTTTTCCCACAAATCATGACTGATATCTGTGTCATTAGTAGGGTAGCTGCCCATCTCTTATCATGATTGGCAGGTTAATAAGGGACCTGGGGCTATCTTTTCACTGCTAGCACACAACCTAACCAATTGCTTTTAAATGACTGCTAATTTGACAGAATATAAGCAGAATATGTAAAAATATCTGGAGTAATGTCTAATGCAGATTTTACTCATATTCTGAGATCTCTCATTTTAGAAAACAGATTAGAAAGTTAATAGATTTTAAAATTTTTTTGGACACTCAGTTTTTAAAGAAAATCTTGTAGTTGTTCTTTGGTTCAATTAGGACCAAAAGAGAAGGGAGTTTTGTAATGCAATTGTCCTGTAAAGGAAAATGTTTTAAATTGGGGAGATTATGTGAGCAGACCACCTGTAGGGCATTCATAGCTCTTTTCTATAATGCTCCAAGCCATGCCTTGCTGCCTGCAGTCTGGCTAACAATGCAGGGAAAAGCTGTTTAAAAGGCTGTTCTCCCTTTTCCCTCTGGTGTTCACTAACTGTTACAAGTCTTCCTCTTAAAATAAAAAAAAAAAAAGTCCCATGTCCCTTTAATTGAAGAACTTTAAGGCTCCATGGTGGCCAATTGGTCTGCAACAAGAGGAACCAGGCAGCAGGGAAAGAAACTTCAGACTATACATCACGTTTGGTGAAGAGAAAAGATCAAAGTTTTCCCAAACTCAAAAGAAACCAAGTTCCCTACAGATTAACCCTATTCATTTAGCTCCTCTTAAAGGAATGATGTTCTGAGCCACTGGGCAGACAGGTAAAAAGTTCAACAATTGCCAAAGCATTCTTCTGTTAATTCAACAGCCTTCTGCTCAAATAAATTAGCTTACTCCTGACAGAAGAACAATACCTTTTCTCTTGAAAAAGGACCATATTTGATATACAAAAGTTAAGATGTTAGTTTAATCTGTTAAGAAGAGATTGATCTAACAAATTTCAACTCACTGTTCCACCACAGTACATGAGCTATGAATTTAAAACATTAACCTTTTACACTTCAGTATGCATCCCAGGAAAGGCAGGTGCTTACAGAAGTGTAGACAACAGATATGAGAGGCGGGTGTGCACATTCCTAAAATAACACCCGTTTTAAAAGGATACTTAACATGCCACGGGAGATGACTCTTTTGTAAAGGCTCAAAGACATCATCATCTTTAAAAAAAGGAAAGAAGTATGGTAAAGCACCTCCCAGTTTTGGCAAACACTTTTTCAGAACAACTTGTTGAATGTCTTGTTTTCTTGTGTCTACATATCTCACTTCTTTAACAGGTAATGACTGGAGAATGAATGTAGTTCATAGTTTATGGAACTACCTAAAGATACAGCAGCTGGAATAACCAGGGCAGGAGGAGAGGAAAAGCTTGAAAAAGTCATTTATCAAAAGTCATTTTATTGACAAAATAGAATACTCATATTTGCTCTTACAGGGGTAGCCTCTAAATTTTTACAAAAAAATTTACAGACTGTATAGCTTTGGATATATACATATTTTACACATCTGTACAAGGTAACAAATAATTATATAAATACATCCTTTAATGTAGGAAACCCGTATTTAGCTGGGGTGTATAATTAAGACATTTTTTGATTCAGTCAATATTGTAAGGCATTTGCCTGGTCATCCACATCCCAAAAACCTGCAGTCCCCAGCAGACTCCCACCTCAGGACGGGGCGGGGGGGGAGGAAGACCCTCTCTCCCATGAGTAAAGAGCTGCTGTTAGTCCAGAGTGATTCAGAAGCTGCTGTGCCTTGCCCTCTGCAAGACACGGGTGAGCCTCTGCCCTCCTCTGCCAGCAAAATAATAAGCTGGCTCCTTGAAGTACATGCTCCCTGCATATGAATGGAGGGGAAGGAGGAGGGGGTTGGAGCCTGGGGCCTCTGCCAGCTGCATTGTTCTATACAAGCTGTGGCTAATAAGGACCATTAGGGGTTCATTAATGGCACCAAACAGTGAGGAGGCATTTTAGGCAGGCCAGTGTCCCTCATTCCCTAACCTTTGGCCTCTTTCCCCCTCCTCACACTTGAGACAGGGGCATCTGCTTGGGATAGGAGACGGAGCTGGCGGTGCCTGATCTCCACGTCAGGCCGGTGCTGACATCGCTGTAGAGTGAGCCACCACCTCCGGCCCCGAGTCCTCCTGCCGTGGTGATCACTGCCTGTCCACCTGCCCCTGCCCCTGCGCCCCCAGCCACGGCAGCGCCTTTGCTGGCCCAGCAGCAGCGAGTGCAGAGGGCCCTCCAGGATTCCAGGGTCTTGCCGGACCAGACCCAGACGCCAGAAGTGATGCCCACCACCAGGCACATGAAGTACTTGAGCATGAAGACGGCATAGTCGGGGCGGCGGGCCTGGTCGGGCTGCTGGTCTCGCAGGCAGGGGCAGTTGTGCGTGGCCTCCCAGCGGGGCCGGTTGTGCTGCTCGTAGAAGAGGCAGGCGACCACGCTGGCAGCCGGCACGGTGTAGAGCACGGTGAAGAGGCCCAGGCGTATCATCAGCTTCTCCAGCTTGTGGGTCTTGGTGGGGCCACCCTGCTGCTTGATGACGCTGCGGATACGGAAGAGCGAGACGAAGCCGGCGAGCAGGAACATGGAACCGATGGCCAAGTAGATGAGCAGAGGTGCCAGCACGAAGCCCCGTAAGTTCTCCAGGCTCTGGTTGCCCACGTAGCAGATGCCGGCCACGGGGTCCCCGTCCACAGAACTGAGCGCCAGCACAGCGATGGACTTGACGCTGGGGAGCAGCCAGGCGGCCAGGTGGAAATACTGCGCGTAGCCGGCGATGGCCTCGTTGCCCCACTTCATGCCTGCCGCCAGGAACCAGGTGAGGGAGAGGATGACCCACCAGATGGAGCTGGCCATGCCGAAGAAGTAGACGAGCAGGAAGACCACGGTGCACAGCGCCGGGCCGGTGCTCTCGTACCGCACGTGCTCGGCCACCGCCAGCTCCGGCTGCAGCTCGGCCGCGCCGCCCGCCGCGCCGCGCCCCCCCGCCGCCGCCGCCCCCGCCGCCGCGCCGCCGCCGGCCCCCGCCGCCCCGGCCCCCGCGCCGCCCGCGCCCGCCCCGCCGCTGCACGCCACCTTCTCGTGCCCCGCCACCAGCCGCACCAGGTAGCCGAGGGACACGAAGAGGTAGCAGGCGGCCAGGAAGATGATGGGGCGCTCGGGGTACTTGAAGCGCTCCATGTCGATGAGGAAGGTGGAGACGGTGGCGAAGGTGGAGAGGAAGCAGAGCACGGACCAGAGCCCGATCCAGAAGGCGGTGAAGGCGCGCTCGTCGGGGCTGAAGTAGGGGTTGTGGCAGGGCAGGGCGCAGTTGGCGATCTGCCCCGTCTTGACGCGGTTGTAGAGCGGGTGCCGCTCGCTGGACACCGACACCATGGGCGCCCGGCACTGGCAGCCCGGCTCGCAGGGAGGCGGCGGCCGCGGCTTGCGCGGAGCCTCGGCCGGCGGGGCGGCGGCGGCGGGGGGCGCCTTGGCGGGGGTGCCGGGCTTGGAGCCGCGGAGCGGGGGCTTGGCGGGCGGCGGCGCGGCCGTGGTGAGGTCCGTGCGGTTGTAGTCCATACAGAGCGTGTCCGGGCTGCCCTGCTCGGGGAGGCGGTCGCAGCGCATCCTGTCGGGCCAGGCGAAGCCGTACTGGCGCATGAGCGGGGCGCAGCCGGCCTTGGCCCGCTCGCAGACGCTGCGGCAGGGCGGCAGCGGCTTCTTGTAGTCCTCCAGGCAGATGGGGGTGTACATGCTGCAGAGGAAGAAGCGCAGGTCGCTGGAGCACTGGATCTCCACCAGCGGCCAGAACTGGTGCACCTCCAGCCCGGCCTCGTCCTGCGTGTCGTGGTTGAACTGGTTGGGCATGTAGGTGTAGTTGTAGCCGATGCCCTTGCAGAGGGGCACGGTGATCTCCTGGCACGACAGCTCCTTCGCCGAGGAGGAGGAGGAGGACGCGGCGGCTGCGGCCGAGGCGGCGGCGCAGCCGGCGCGCTGCAGCAGGGACAGGGCGGCGAGCAGCGAGGTGATTTCCAACAGGTAACTCCACTCCATGCTCGGCGGCGCGCGGGCGGCGGCCCCGGCTCCTCTCCCGTCCCGCTCAGCAGCCGCGGGGAGCGCGGCGCCACAGCACCCCCCCGCCCCGGCTACCCCCGGGGGGGCGGAGGGCGGCCCCCTCCGTGCCGGTCGCAGGTGAGAGGTCTCGCAGCTCCCGCCGGACTCCGTCGTCCGCGGGCACCCGGTGACGGGGAGCCCCCACTCGGCGCCGGAGGATGGGGGTCGGCTCACGGGAGGCCCCTCAGCCGCCGTCGCATCGCTCCCCGCGGGGTCGGTTTCGCAGGGGGAGGCGCGGCTCCTCTCGCCGCTGCTCCAGCGCCGGCCGGGCACGGGGCGGCGGCGGCAGAGAAGTTTCGCCGTCAGCCCCCGGGCGGCGCGGTGAAGAAGGCTGAGGCGTCCCGGGAACCAGGCGGTGCCGGGCTCCCACCGCCCCGAGCGAACGGGCAGCGGCAGGGCCGGAGCTGGGGCGGCCGGAGCGGCTCCTTCTGCCGCCCGCCCGGGCGCAGGGCTCCGCGGGTGACTGCCAGCCGGCCGGTCCTCGCCCTGCGCTGGGTCCCTCTCCGGCTCCCGGGCACCCCGGCCGCGATCGCGCCACCTGAGCCGCGGGTCGAGCGCGGCAGTGCCTCCGCCAACTTCTCGCTCTCCGGCCCCGGCAGCGGCGCTCCGGCCACCGCGCTCTCATGAATATTTATAGTAAGCGCCGCCAGACCCCGCCCCCGCAGCCTCGTCCGCCTATCAGCCGCGCTCGGGCGGGACGCGGGGGGCGGGCCCCGGGGCTCCTTAAGGTGGCGCCGGTGCTGGACTGTGGCCGTGGTGGGTGTTGCCGGGTCGTAGTGGCTGCGGGGACGTGGCGGTGTTTGCTCGGCCCCTGCCCGTGCGGAGACGCGCGGCTCTGCACCGCGGTGCGCGGGCTGTGGCAGCTGGGCTATGCAGGGATCTCCATCCCCCTGCACGAGCTCCCGGGCAAGTCACAGCAGTCACCGCAGCAGCAGTTTAAGTAGCGCTCGGGGCTGTCTCGGAAGGGGTTTCCTATCACCTCGTTCTGCTCGCGGGATCGCCGCCCGTGCCGGTGTGCGCGCTGCCCCATCCTCTTGCACGTGCTGGTTACGGGGATCACGGCACCACCGCAGCCGCCACCCGGCCCCGCCGCCCAGGCTGCCCGCGCCCCCAGCCCCAGTGCCGAGCTCCGAACAACGCGCGGTGCAAGCGCAGCGCTGGAGGCTCTGCCCGGGGTCGGGGTCGCGGCGTGTGACGGGTGACACGGGGACCCCCGAGGCGCGGGCAGCCGCGGGTCACGGCGCTCGCCGGGGCGCGTTCAGGCGGTGCCGTGTGTGCGCCCCGGCCGGCGCCGGGAGCTCCCGGTGGGACGGCGGGGAGCAGCCCCGCGCCCCGGCAGGTGGACACTCGGTTCCCAGCCGGGCAAAGACACGCGGTAGCTCTGAGCGCACACTGCCCGCGGGACATGGGCCGGCACCGCGGCCGCCGCCGGCCACTGCCCCGCAGCCCAGGGGCAGCGCCGGGAGCCGGTCCTGGCACGGCCGCGGCTCCCGAGCGCCCGCGCCAGCCCGGCGCCGCGGCGGTGACTCGCCGAGGAGCCGCCTGCAGGCTCCCAGGGCGGCGTGTCCCGCCCGGGCCGGCAGAGCAGCCATCCGCGGCTGGATGGCCCCGCGCTGGGGAGCACCCCCGCCCTCCGCTCACGGGGGCCGCGAGAGGAGTCGCTGCTTTCCTCCGCCCGCGGCGGGGAGGGGGCGGGCGGGAATTCCGGCGGCCCCGCGGTAGCCAGACCACCTTAAGGGGAGCGGCGGCGGCGGGCGCGGGCTGCGAGCGCGGCGGGGCCGTCCCGGGGGGTTGTCGCGCTCCCGGGACGCGGCGTTTGTTTGTTAATTGAGGCGCTGCTGCGCCTGGCGCTCGCGCGGCGCTCCCGCTGCGGCCCTAATGACTGGAACCGCGGGAACGCGGCGGGGCCCGTCTGCCGGCGGCGGGAATCGTGTGATTCGCGGGGAGTCACACGGAGAGAAGCGGGGCCGGGGGGGAGCGAGCCCGCCCCGGGGGGCGGTGCGGGGCGCCCGGGGAGGAAATGGAACGCGTGAGGCCAAACAAGGAACAATCCCCGGGTTGTTGGCTGAGCCAACAGGCTGCTGTCGCCGTGTGAGCGAACGCGCGGATTACCCCGTTAGGAGGAAATGGGCGATGATGGGGCGATAAACGCGCCCGCTGTGTGACCACAATTGATTTGCAATTGACCGAGCGCCGCTCCCGACCCCGCGCCCGCCCCGGGTCTCTCGGGGCTGGGAAGCTCCCGGAGGCCGTGGCCGCGCTCCTCCGCCTGCTCGGACTGCGCGGTCGGTCCCGCTATTACATGCGCGGTGATGTTTGTGACCACAATCAGAACTTTCCTAAAAGTAGCAGGTGGTTATTTTAGCGCTAATTTAGTTAACAGCATTGTGAAAAGTGTTACGAGCTCGAACAATGACCGGTGAAGAAAACGTCTGGCACAGGACTCAGTGACGGATAGAGGTTTAAAAAGTGTCCAGTCCTGGATGCGATGCTCCATTTTAAGGAGTGACTTTTTTTGTGTGGTGGCTGCTTGAAGGGCACCTTATTTAAAAATCTCTACGGAACGTAAAACTCAGTGAGTCTAGCCGAGGGAGCCGGGCGAGTCTGTAAATTACCGCTCTGTCAGGATTCCTCTTGCCTGTTACAAAGTACCTTTTTATGCTGAACTTAAACTTTACACTACAGAGACAGCAGATGTGAGGTGATGGCTTCCAAAAGCAACACAGATGCTGTAAAATTTCCATTGCTATATTTTAGCGAGGAAGCTCAGGAGACATGCTGAATGCTGCAGTTTAGAATTACACTGTAACTCTCCTAGAAATAAGAGAATACTAAGTTTCTCAACAGTACATTTGGCTTCATTTTGGCTGTCATTCATATGCTCTTGTTTTCTTACAGCGAGAAGAAGAGATGCAGCACAAAGATACTGTGTGTCTTGAAGCTGTTCAGTAATGACAGAATTGGTAATATGGAACTTTATGGTAATTTAGTAATGACTGCATATCCAAATTCCCTAGTAAGACCATGATAATTTTCAAAATTGTCTTTCAGGTATATAAACCAGCACAGCTGTGAGGAGGCTGCTTTGCTTTATGCGAACTGAAAAGCAGCCTGGTTAGCTCAACACTGTGGAATCAGAGCCCATTGTGTGTTCCTCATACTTGGAGACTTCCCTGAAGTCCCTAGAAGTCCTGTGATGAAGGACTCAAGGGTCAAGTCTTTAAAATGGTTTGTGTGTTTATTCCAGAAAATTCAGCAGCTGCTTTTTCTGAAAAGCTGAACTTTGCTATAGCAATGCAGAATACTTTAGAGCACTTTTTCCCTCTGGGATTTCAAAACAGATGTCCAGTCATCAAATCCTGCAGAAATATAAAGCTGGCAAGAATGTTACAGATATTATAACTTTTTACAAAGTTACAGATTTGACTTCTTGTCAAATCTAGTCACTTTCTGACTGGTCTTTGTCACAACAGGTCTTTGCTGCCACAGATACTCACGCATCTTTTAGTCAAACGATTAGGTTTGGCACTGGCCCCTCTAACATAAGCTTAATTTTTCTGTGCATCTGAGGCTTTGCATTTAGGATTATATGGATCCCACCAAACCAGGTAATGGTAACTACATGACATTTTAGTTCAAAATAAGTAAATTTGCTGGTTTTTGGTTGGTTTTTTTTTTTTTTTTTTTTTTTTAAACTGGAAGTAAAAGTGCCACATGAAATCTTGGATTTAACATGCTATTTTGTTTATGTAAAAATAGAGATGTTTAGTTTATAAGATTGAAGAAAAATTGCTTTTTAATTCCCACTGAATGTTCTCCAGTAAATTTTAGTGTGGCATTGTCTGCATTGGATAGGTTACTGAATGGTGCTTTTATAAAAGTGTTTGAAAAGAAGAACTTGGCCCATGGAAATTGTTCAAATAATCTTGTTAGAATGAAGCCTTGACTGAAGGCAGTAATTTCATGGATTAAACCCAGAAGGGCTGGCTGGGCTGATCTCCTTCCTATCACATGCCACAGAGCTTTGTGCAGAGACTGTCTAAGCAAATGCTGGTTAGCTGCAAGACATGGGGGATTTTGCATGGACAATACATTGAACAACACCATGAAACTGGCAACTGGAACTTTTTGAGGACAGGATAAATAGGAGCTGGAAGAAAGAGTATTTTTACAGGCCATTTAGTAAACACAGTAAGGTAGAGTTGTTGCATCTATGTTCAGATTTCCCCTAAAAAGTTCCAATTAAAATTAAGAGAGACTGTTGTTTTCCCCAGTCTATCCTTTTCTCTCACATGCCATATGTGGTCCAGAACTGAGCAACATGATGACACATCCAAGTATGGGAAGGAATTGCCTGGTTTGTACTTCTGTGAGCCTGAAAAGCACAAATTATGAGCAAAAATCCAGTGCTGGGAAACCTGAAGAGAAATGGGGATAGGAGAATACAGTGTGTATATCTGTCTTACAGTCTGATATTTTTCCTTTTATAAAAATAAATAAATAAATGGCATTCATACATCTTCTGAGTCAGCCTGTACTTTATTGTGATTCATGAGAACTTTTTGTAGGCAAGAACAATGTTCTGCTTACATTTCTTCAGGCATGTCAGATCTGATCGGGGATGGGCACAGTACCATGGTGGTGCTACTGTTGTTCAGTGAGATAAGAGAGAGACTTCAGGAAACAAGAGAACAGGCTGAATATAATGTGCTGCCATGGCTACTCCTGGAGTGCAGTGAGCAGGTGCCTGAGGAGGAGGAGAAACTTCTGGAAGAGTACTTTGCTGTTGCTTTGTCATAAAGGATGATCACAAAGGGATTGATCAGTGCTGTGGTCTGAGTATTGCTCTGACACTGAAGCTGCAAGTTGTGGCCCTGAATGTGGCTGGAGGATTTTCTGCTGACCATGTTCAAATTTCTTCCTGAGGATGCTTTGAGTGCATGGGCTTCACTAGAGGAGGAGTATGAGCTGCAGAATGAGTGTTAGGACTTTGGGAACAGCAGTTTAGCATGAGGGCAGTATAAGATGAGCTCCTATTGAAGGGCTTTAGCCCTGTTCTTCCACACTGTGCAGTTGGTGATTGGGCTGCAAAGTATTGGCTCTCTCAGTGTAATTGTATGTTGCTTCAGTTCTCATTAGTGAAACAATGCAGGAGAAAGGAATGCAAGAAAATACTGATTATAAAGATTGTGAAGGAAAATAAGTGTTCTTGAGGGGTTTTTCCATAATATTATTTTTTCTTTTCCCAGCACTAGTTAGCAAGCTGCAATTATAATCCACCTGTGCTACAGACTGTAATACCTCATGGTGTGGTGTTTCACACATGATAAATCATGTGACTTTTGAAGACAAATTGCACTGAATTAAACAGTCTGTTGATCCACTGTCACTGTATTTGGAGAGCAACACAAACTCCATGCAGTTGAATTGCTGACCATAATATATGTGAGGTTATATGGACAGAGTGAGTAGTGTAGTCTTCCTCTGATTACCCAGGTAACCATGAATTTACTCTTGGGCTGCTGCTAGAAGATTAGTATGTAAATGGACTCCTGAATCTCAGGAAGGTGATGTGGATTCAGCTTGGTAAGGTATTAACCCCCAGTCTGGTTTCTGGGGGTTAATATGAGAGTATCAACATGCACCACTGAGTATAAACTTGCACCACTCTCTTCTCCAAGTGAAAGCACGTCCAGGCCTCTGGCACACCAGTCACTCCTGCAGTCATGTTTGTGGTTCTGTCTCCATGCTCCACCAAAATGTGATTAGTGCTCATATATGCTGGAATGGCACACTCACCATCACTACTCCCAGCATGAGCTGGGAAGTCCATTTGGTCATTCTTCGTTTTTGGAAACCTCACTTTTAACAACTTGGGTATGAACCCCTGCAAAGTTTCTGGTAAATATCCACTGCTGCTGCATTGCCCCCTGCCTTGCCTGTCTGGGATGTGGCCCTCTGGAATGGACAGCTTCCAAATTCCAGCTCCCACCTGGCCTTAAGATGGCATGACCTGCAGATACCTGGACTTTGATGTCACAGCTTTGGGGGAATTAAGGGGACTCCATCATTAACTTGACCTGCTTGACTTTGTTACTTAGTCCATGTTTGGGTGATAGCAGGTGGGTGTGTAGCACATTTAACTCTTACCAGCTCTGAGTATTGGTACTGACAGGGTGAAAGGAAGAGCCACAGCAGAGGGGGTGGGGAGTGCAGGCTGCCTCTCATGTAGGGTAAGTCACATTTGGGATGGCTCAGTTGCCACACTCACACAGCTGTGGTGGCACTCCTGGCAAGAAATCCAGCCCAGCCTGTGTGCAGCTCCCTGCCAGCTCGTCCAGCCTGGTGGGAGAAGGTTGGTGCAGAGACAAGATTAAGCAGTGTAGTGCACTTTGAGCTAGGAACTTCTGCATAAGCTACATGGATACATTAGCTTGCACATATACCCTCTCACATGCTGTAAATTAAATGAGAAACTAAAGAGGTGATGTGCTTATGAGTGAGAAGTGAACTGAAAGACAAAATGACACTTTATTTTAAAAGGCATGGATAAGACTAAAACCCAGATATAAGAAAGCAGAACTTTGTATAACTGATTTGAAGAGAAACATGTCATTAAATCCTTGAACAATATGAAGTTGGTCATTAATTCTGATACTACTTTTTGCACCTTGGAGGTCAGTGAAACTATAAGTTAAGGGAATAATATTTTGCATATGTTTGAAGTAGACATTTTTTAAGTTCCACTGTTTCCAATCCAAATTTTTGATGGATGCCCAGCAGTAATTTTTAAAATACTGAATGATAAAATCACATTTTATCCCGGAGATTGAAATTGAAATAACAGATGTACCTTTCATCGCTGATTTTGAATATTTATTATTTGTACTTCATTTATTCCAAACATTTTTTTTTATTTCTACAGTTAGACCCTGACTAATTCTCCAGTGTACTAGTTTTTTTTGGGACAACAGTGGTTGGTAATTCCAAATATGAGTAAGGACAGCAAGCTTGGGCTTGTACTAATTTTGATGAATAAATTTGCCTTGAGAATGACAAATTGTGTTAGTACTTTTCACTTGATAGCATTAGACAGTCAAAGATGTTAACACTTCGTAGGGAATTAGCATTAGGCAGTGTTTGGAACTTATAGGGAGCTTTCAGGTGCCTGGTCTCAGCAGAAACTGCTAAAAACCTTTCTCTATTTTTATTTTAGTAAAAGAATGGTGTGATTGAAAAGCAAGGTGTTGAAAGGAATTTCACTGTAATAGCAAAATGTCCTTCCTTTCATTTTACTCCCCGAGTTCTAAAATAAGGATATTTCTTTGCCAGTTCCTTTGAATTTTCTTGATTCTGAGTTGGCACAATGATGGCAGGAATAGTCCATAGAGGAATAATCCTCTCTGTGTATGGTGAGGGAAAAGAAAGAAGTACTCCACTGCCATGAGATTTGCTGCAGTTGTCTTTTGTAGGTTCACAACAGTGTTACAAAAGGTGCAGGCTTGATTGATTTCTTGTCTTTTATTTATTTTCTTTATACATTTATTTTGCAGTTGGGGTGAGGGGATGCAATTGTATGTCAGGAAACAGCCACAAGGGGAGAGAAAATCCTAGAAATTTAGTTGTAACATTTTTCCTGGTAGTATTAATTGAGTGTTTCTCTGTCTTGGTCTGGTCAGGGCCTGGTTTTGGATGAAAGGCTTTCAGTTCTTCCAGGGGATTGTGGGGTTCCAAGAAAAGGGATGATAATAGCCATGTTGGGATACCTGATACTTTTTATTTTATTAGTCTTATTGGATTTATTCCTTCTGGTTTACTTTACTGAAAAGAGAACCCTGAAAGGGAATAATAACTGGAGTATCTTATCTTCTTGCCACTTTGCTAATTTTGCTATACATATTTTTGTATTATAGATTTCTTACCTAGTAAGTGTAGCCATTGTATGAATCTTATCTTCATCCTTTGCTTTTGTAAGGCAGGCTGGTTGGTCTTTTATAAGTTAGGGCTCATACATGAAGTTGTCACATCCATTCAACTGTTGGTTTTTGTTTGGGCTCAGCTCCTTGGCTTTTGAACAGTCCTGCTAACAGAACTGTGATGGAAAACTTGAACCATTTTACTGCTGTTTAATTTTTTTCTGATTTGTGGGTGGGTGGGTCCAGGTGATATGTTTGAATCTGCAGGTTAGTGAGAAAGAAAGACCTTTCTTGACCCATGAAATTTCCCGCATGAATTTTTGATAAAAAAATAAAAAGCTTTTTCTGTTTCTTTTTTGTCTTAATTTTCCAGGAAACACAACATGCTTTGACAGAATTCAGAGGACTTTGGAAGACTTTGTCTGGAAACAAAAACTTCTGGATTTGAAATATGTTACTGTAGTCCTCCTCTGACATTACAGCCTGGATGCCTGCTGGCCCTGCTCTGCAAGGCTGGGGCTGCCTTCCACCTTTGACATTTTGCCATGATCTTTCCTCCTTGAAGGGACTGCTGTAAATGGGGAATCCCTCAAAGTGATCTGTCCTCAGAATTCTCATTTAAATGGTAAGTCTGGTTGATAGAAATCTGCCACATAAAGCAGGTAAACTGGAGCTACGATGAAATGCTACACTAGCATTTCTTACTAACATACTATGTTTTCAATCAAAATATTTTTGTTGATAAGTTTGGCTTTTTGGTAAGGAAAGTATACTTGCAGAAGCACATATTTAGACATGCCAAAAACCCCCAAACAATCCAACCAGAAAGTGTTTAGCTGAAAGCCTCATTTCCCATCAAAAATAGATGCAGTGGAAAATTTTCAAGCAGCCCTATATTTAACCTCCTTGGATCAGAATTTGGTTGTTGGACTGAGGGAGGCTTACAGAGTTTTTTGGCTGCTTTTGTTAGGGTGTCTGTTTTTTCACTCATGACATCTGCCTGCTTTTCAAGCTGTATTCAACCTTGTTATAACTCTTGCTATTGCAGCATTTTATGTGTTCAGAATGCTAATTCCCACTGGACTCCACTCACTTGAGTATGTGCAAACTCAGTTTCTTTTAAGGGGTGCATCAATCTTGCTCTTTTTTTTATATACTTATTTTTTAAATTTTGGCTGTGTTTTACTAAGAAAATATGAGTGCTGTGTACTGACTGTGCACAAAACAGTTATCACTACAATGCAGCTCCTAGTTCTTTGCCCAAGGTAGCCTTGCTTTGGCACGTTGTGGATGCAAAAGTTTATGTAATTTTAAGGTATAATTGGATAAGTGAAAGAGAAGGTCCATTGGGCAAAATAAATAGATAAATCACATCAGTCTCAGGAATTCTTGAGTGGAATATAGTTGAAATGCTAGAGAGCTATTCTGGGAAAAAAGTATTTGATTTCTTTGCTCATGCTCTCTTCTCTTCACTCTGACTTATGACAGCTTTTGGAAGCAGGATACTGACCTAAATGGACCTTTGATCTGAATTGTCATAGCTATCCTTGGATAAGTACACTGACAAATGAGTAAGTGTGGGCTTTGGCCATCTGGAATGCAGCAAAATTTATCATTTTTTTTTTTTCACCAAGAAAAGTACAAGTGAATAACTAAATATATGAGTATGGGAATAGAGAATTTTATCTGAATAGATTGTGATTCTGGTGTCTCAAGCATTCTGTTGATTTCTTTTTTTTTAAGTAGGTTTTGCAGCTTCATTTCTTCTTTGTTGCTTTTTGTAGAAGTAAAAATATGCAACAACTATGTCTCATACAACTATGGACCTTTTTGTGTGTTTTCCAAAGTTGGTGGGTAGAACATTAGTGTGAGAATCCTGCAAAATCCATTGGACATTGCATTATGACAAGAAGAGAAAGCAAAGCAGATATTTAAAATCAGGGAGGAACATTGTTAGTGTGATCTGCATTAGTTTCAGTATGAGTTATGTTCTGTCATTAGTTCAGTGTCAGAATGCAGTTTGTAGCCAGAAGCTACCACCAACTGGCAACATGAGGCATTTCTTAAGCAAAAATTGATTGTTATTCTTTATTGCTCGTTTTGTATTCTAACAGCTTTACAGAAATATCTTTCCAGATATTCTTAACTTTGTTTTCATGGTAGTTTAACTTAGTTCATGATTGCTAAGTAATACTTTGCTGTTTAAGTCTTCACAGGCATTAATGGTAAAATCTGTAAGGGAGCATATTCTTGGTAAAACAGCAGTTTGGGTTTTTTTTCCTATATTTTAATAAACTCTTCAGAATTTTTATGATTTCCCGAAAATAGATATATTTAGTTTTACACCTGTGTGCTTAAATTTACCTGGGTGTTATATTGGCCAAAATAGGTGGGGCCTCTATAACTTCATTTCCTGACACTTTTTATTCAGATTTCTGTCAGCGCAATTTTATTATAATACATTGTTAGTACTAGAAGCTCCCTTTTATTATTTTAGAACTATTTAAAATAAATATTTGCAAGAAAATATAACAGCAAGACAACATTTAAAAGAAAGAAAGGGTTTGAGTATTGTTGAGAAATAGATTCATCAACCCACAGTGTGGCAGGAAGGATGACAGAGAAAGGAAAGCACAATATTGAAGCATAAGAGTGAGCTCATATGGTGCCAGCTGCTCATGTGTGGAATCTAAATACTTTCTGAAGCATAGTGCTCCACAGTCAATTAGCATTAATTCAAATAATCATTGTAGAAGGAAGAAATTTTAGTCCATTAGAATTCATGAGTTGGAAAAAGTAGCAAAAAATGTTCATGCTTTCCCAAAAAAAAAAAGCCAGTAAAAAATATGTAAATTCTATTAAAATTAATTTGGAAATTCTGTGAAGTGAAAGAAGATATTGTAATCCTGTCTCTATAGTGTGTCAAGAATGGCAGAATAGTGCAACTGCTCTCACATAATTTGTATGGCTTAACCAGAATTTTTATGATAATGTCAAGAACTGAGAATCAAGTAGAGTTGCAAAATCTGTCCACTCTTGAAACTGAAGAATTGAGGGGAGTAATTCGGTGCAAAGTAAACGTGTTCACAGGTAATTGGACTGACACTATTAAATTTCTTTCATTTCAGTACTAGGTAGTAATTACTTTAACTTCAAGGAAAAGAGAAGATTACATCCTGTAAACTTTCTCATGCAAAATAATCTGTCCTCCTGTCAGTGAAGCTGGTTACTGTAAAATGTCTGTTTGCTTGAGAAAAGGTTTGTCAAATCAGGTGGTTAAAATGGAGATGGGATTAGGAAACAAAAAATCTGGTTTTTAGTGGGAGTTAACTTTTGGAGAAGTGGGGCAGAGAATGGACAATGAATATCACCATCTTTTAAGTGTTCAGTACTATTAAAACTGGTTTCCTTATGGAGAATCCTTCATTGGCAGAAAATTTGTGAAATAGACAGTGAAGGGAAATGCTGTGGTAAAATATATGTAAAGAATCTAATGTCAAAACCTAGAGTTAAGGCATACATCTACAGATATAGGAAATTATAAGGATAAACTGAAAAAGTGTTTCTGTGCTTAAAAAGCCTAAATGTCATTGTATATATCAATCTCTTGTCTGTTTTGTTGACATGTTTGTGCTACCTAAATGGCATTTTTGAAGCAAACAACATTTTTACAAGAGCCACTAATTTAGTTTGGGATATAAGAAATAGTTGTTAGCTTTATGGTGTTGTTAGATTTATAGGTAGTAAATATGAATGTAATAATTTTCACTTTTAAATAAGCTGCTTCATTCTGTATGTAAAACAAAATAGCTTCAAGGTGCTTGGTTTTGTAATTAACAAATGTCTAGTTGATCAAAATATCCTCTCTAGTATGAGGCATAGAGATTAGGCTAGACTGTCTTACAGAATAATGTGATTATAATGATTTCCTTAAGAGAGCACAAAGCAGCATCTAAGTTTCAGCTGACGTTTATTGACACACAGCATCTGTTGGGAGCCCCATCAAACTTTCTATTCTTTTCTGTTTACCACCTCCTGCTTTTATTTACAGGCAGCATATCTGTTAATTAGCCTCTGGTAGAGCCAGTTCTTCTAAGAAGATCTCTTGTCTTCCTGGTGATGGCCCCATGAGGTGACCATGTACACACAGTCTGTGAGTGAATTCATCTTTAACTCCTTCATTTCAGTGCCTGATTCTGCAATGCTTAACTGCTGGCTTGGGTTCCTGCTCAGCAATTTGTATTTGGAGAATTGTGATCCTTGACTTCTGCCGACCTCAGTGGCATGAGCACATCCCAGTGAGCTCTCGGCTTCTCGTGGGTGACCTCACTGAAAGTTCCTATCTTCCTGAAGTTTTTTGGTTTCCTGTGGTTGGAAATGCAGAATGCACAGAATTCCTCTGTGTCAGTGAGGTTATTGACCTAGTTTTTATTGCACATTTGCAGAATAAAATTATTCCTGCACTTCCTCAGCTCTCTCTGTCCCACCATATTTGAATGCAGCATTTTGCACAAAAAATCTGAAGTAATGTTGCAGCACGTGGATCTCACAAGAGGGTGCTCTGGAAGGTGCCATGCTGTTTAACAGAGCTTTGTGATGATGTGAAGCTGTTTATAGCCACAGGCTGGGTGCTAGAGGTGCCTCTTGGGGTGCACTTCTCTCCCAGCTTGGCTTGTTGGTTAGAAAAGAAGAAAATCGTGGCTGTACTTGAAGGAAGAATTCAGGAGAGGACACAGGGATCCCCTGCCAGGCCTGCAGTGTTGCTAGAAGTGCTTTGGGAGGTGAGAGCTGATCTGTGCATCTCACCGGGGTGGTAATGGCTGTTTGTTTCACCTGAAGCCTAAGAAAAGGGTGACTGGGCCGCTTATTTGCACAGTCAGCTGTAGGTAAAGCCTTAAGCGATGACCAAGCTCCTCACTTTTGCCCTCTCACTCCTCCAGCTGAGGAGCAGGCAAACTCTGAAGGCTTAAGCAAAGGTTAAAGATGTCCTTGAAATCCTGCCCAGTGCAAGGGCAAGCATTAAAAGCCATAAAGTACATACTGTGGTAATGTGAGCATTTTTTCATAATTTAATGAGAGCTTTACTGATAAAAATTCACAGTTTCAGTTTAAAATAAAAAAAAGAAAAAAAAACTCCAACAAAACAAACCCAAACCACCCAACCAGCAGCATAATCCCTGGAATACATCCAGCTTTTGTACTGGAAAAGTACCTCAAAGGAGTATGATCTTCTCTCTTTAGTGGGAAAGTTTTTCTTGCTTATCTAAAAGGTTTTATGCTGGCAGAATTGCATTTTATTGTCTACTCTTTGTGGCTAGGCAGATCCAGCTAAAGTAACTTAGTTTTAAAGGAACTAGAAACCTTAATTCCTTTAAATTAAATTCCTAAGACATCCAAATGTCCAGGATGCTGTGAAAAAAGACACAATAATTAAAAATAGAAGCTGGATATTTGCTACTGATAGTTCATAGCTTTGGAGGACTAGTGGTGATGCAGTGTTGTGATAAAAAATCAATGAACAAGTATCAGTTAAAGTTTCCTTTCACACCTTTAATTGTACCAAGTCAGTGCTGACTGATCTGTTAATGTTTCATGGGGAAAGTTGACACTGAGGGGAAGGGGTGGGTGACATTTCTTCAAAACGTGGTAACTGCATTTACTTGTTTTGTGGTTGAAGGACAGAGAAATAAGAGATGCTGAAAATGTTTTCTAAAATTATGGCCTTTCATCAGTGTTTTATAGGTACTGTTTAAGCCATCTTTGCTAAGGAGAAGCTCCTTTACTATTAATATGCTGTCATCTTTCAAATCTCATCAAGGCAGCACCAGGATTTTTTTGCACAGATTTCTTTTGACGTACAGCCTCAATAAATATGGAAATTACAAATTAAATCTCATTTTTTTTTCTTGCAAAGCAGTGCAGTGCCCAAATTCGTTGAATTTCCACTTTTATTTTTTCTTAATGTTGAAAGACATATATGCAAATTTTATTAACAATATGCAAAGTTAAATTTAGCTGTAAATTCCAGTCAGGGATTTTTGCTTTGTTTATTGTCCAAGTCAATATGTCTGTGGAGAAAACCTCCTGCTGTGCAGGAATACATAGTCAGCTACTTGGAAAAATAGAAAGTTTAATTATGAGAGTTTATTCTGGAAAAAGGTAAAGCAAACAAGCAAGCACTGGCTTTTGGGTTTGTTTTTTTTTATTATGACTTCAGCTAACAGAAATTCAACATACACAGTTTGTTTTGACACTAACTGTTATCAGACAAACTACTTGATTTTTCTTTAGCCTGGTCTTCTGTGTAACTGAGAGGTTCTGAAAAAGTAGAGGTCATGAATAAATGATGCATTTCTTAAACTTGCAAGGTAGATTATGACATAAATGAAATAAAATCCAAGTGTGAAGTGAAAAAAGAAGCATAAACACATGTATTGCTGACAATATCTTCATTAAAATATACTTTATCCTATGAAGATATTAGTGTCAGATGCAAATTTCCTTTGTTGCTCTCTCTGAAGTTATTCTGATTTTTTTGTGTGGTAACAGTGAAGTACCTTTATACAAGGCTTCTGAGTGGAAGGGTAAATTATTGCCAGGGAGTGTGTGTTATAAATGATATCCAAACATATTCTTGTGTTTGTAGCAGAAAGCCCTCCAAGACTGTAGTTACTGGAGTGGTTCCCATGTGTTCAGTTTTTGTAAGTCATTTTCATGGAATATATTTTATCTAGCTATGTAAAAAAACCCATTGCTTTCAAAAAAGGTGTTTTTCCTGTCTACTCAGAGTTTATGTAATAATCTGTATTTCTCCTTGTGGTTCAATGCATATTTTTCCTTTCTAAACTTGTTCAAATGTAATATGAAGAATGTTTTTATGATAATACTACTATGGCTGATATTAATTAGCTTTAAGGGAATAAAATTTTTAAAAATTTTGTTATGGATACTGTTTGGGTTTCATGACTTGCCTCAGGTATGTAAGCATGCCCTTTTTTTCTTTGCATCTGTGTAGGACTGATCCATAGCCTGGGCTTGCAGGTTCTACAGTGACACACATGGTACACGATAACTGTGCGTGGAGAAAGGCTGGCAGCTTCACAGAGGAAACTTCTGGACCTGTGCATAAGTTCAGAATAAGCAACTGCCTGTAGCTTCCCTTCCCCCAAAAAACTGCTTTTTACTGAGTCTCATTAAATGGTCCTACGTGTGGGACATGAAATGTGTTTATGGTAGAGTGAGAGTTTTGTTCTGAGTCACTGGTGCATCAAGAGTTTCTTCACAATGTTCCTGTGGCTGCCTGACCAGTGAGGCTGGCCCCTGAGAGGCACAGACCCCAATGTCCCGTGGGAGCACTCCCTGAACCCCCCCTGGCAGAGATGTGAAGGTCCCTGATCTCCTCTAGAACCGAGTGTTTATGTTCTTAAATAGGATTCAGCAACCTAAATACCTTGTAACTCTCCATGTATAAAGCTTAGTTGCAATATAGCCTCCTAATTCCCCACACATCCCTGCATTCTTCCCTACTTGTTTCTCTCATTGGCTGTTAACTCTTATTTAGTAGTTTGGAAGGTTAGTTATGACTTGGTTTTGGGAGATGTTTCTTGCTAATCTTATCCTGTATTTCTTTGGACTTTCCACTCTTACACTTTCTGTACATAATAAACACCCTTAATTTCCAGCAACTGGCTTCCCTCTTACCATGGCAGGTGTGAACCATAGGACTGCTGGTATTTATAGAACACCTCGTAAAGATGCTATAAAGGGAATCATTAGGGCTCAAAATTGACAGGGATTTGACAATTTTGTCCAATCTACTTTTTGACCAACTGTAGTGGGATAGAATATAAGTAAATAAAGGTAGTATAGATAGTAATCTTACCCCCTAAAGAGTTGCAGCTGGGTTAATTATTAAAGATTAGGAGCAGGCCTGATTTTAACAGGCCACAGCTGTAGCCAATAAGAGGAATGTTATAAAAGAGTGGATTGGTTGGTTGAGGGGAACTGGAGTCAATTGGCTCTGTGAGGACAAGGAAGAGTCAGTGCCTGGAGGAGCTGCCTACAAGAAACATCAAGGAGGTATGAAACTCTAGCAATATGGAACCTTTGCAATGTACTGACAATGGAACTCTTGCCATATAATGACAACAACCAACCAATATTCAAGTTGTATATTAGCCAAATACTACTTAATTTGAGTGACAAAAAGGGTAGGGTAGGGGTGTGTGTCACAGGTAGTTAAAGGATGCAGAGCCTTGTGCCAGTCTAATGCTTTTGGCACAGGAACTGCTCTCTGCTCTGCTGTTTGCTCTTCTGAAACCAGCAACAGTAAACCAGGGCATAAATCAATGTAATACTTTCTTCCCATGCTAAACTTTATCTTAGTTTTAGGAGTAGGATGCAGTTTGGGTAGGGATTTAAGTGCTTAGATATCGCAGATTCCTTTTTGTTTCTGAAATATCTTTCTTTTTTCTGGCCAATAAAGTAACATGAATTAATTAATTAACTTGAGAAATTAATGTGATTGACTGTTTCTTGTGGCTTAGGGATTCATGCTGTTTGGCCAATTGATGGCTGTGAGTGTTGCATGTGTAAGTAGTTATAAACACTTTGTTTTATTCATGCTGACTTTTATCACAGAACCTTTTAGTTTGTACTGAGGAGCACTCCAGGTGGACCATGGCCTGTGCATTCCAGCCCGGTGAGGGGTGCTTTCAAAGGGCCTTTTGTTGCTCTATCAGTGCAAGGCCAAAACATATTCCATAAACCATCTCATAGGATCAGAGAGTAACTGAATTGGAGCTGGAGAGAATATGGTAAATTATGTTAGGAACAGGCTGGTGATCCTTGAGGGACCCTCTGCAACACTGCCTGGGACAGCATGTCTTCTTCCAATCATCTCTTCAGCTCTGGAGTTCTTGCCATGTGATAGACTTATACATTTAATTGTCTTTTCTTTAAAACTATCCAGCTGCTTTCAAACCAATATTGTTAACTTTTTACCTAAGGAGGCTGATAAAAATGAAAGATGTTCATACTTGGTTGGCTTCTTCCATGATCTGGGATGCATCTGGGAATCCAATCTATAGAATCTCTTCTTAGAATTATCCAAATATTTCTGAGTGCCAAAGATAACCAACTGAAATGTCCAGAGATTAGTCAATTTCAAACAATTTTTAGACTAAATCTAAAAATGACAGCAATTTTAAAAAATAGAGCTGTTGGTGTTTCCCATTCACAGGATTTTTTGTGGCATTAGTGTAAACAGATAATTTTTACATGGAAATGCAGAATATCAATGGTTGGCTACTGATATATTTTCTTCTACTCTATATGTGTTAATACTGTACCATACCAGTACTGTGGTCATGAGAGATTATGCTGGTGGAAAACATGATCATGGGATTTGACCTCCTTGGAAGCAAGGACTTTTCCAGGTCATGAAAGGCCAAATATTCAGCTCATGACTAGTGTAGAACTCTTTCTCTGTCATAACAGAAATACTGACACCTGGTTTGCACTTGAAAGTGTTATCAAGGAGGCCTGACAGGGAGGGATATGAATTTTTTGCTGACATAGCTATCCCAGCAAAAAACCCAGTGCAGAAGCTGCATAAGGAATTCTTTTACCTGAACATTTTACTTCTCTTGAGGGATAGGTGTGGATTGCTTGAGAAGAAGAGTTCTTGTTAGTGTAATTTCTGTATTAACCTTTCTAGTGTAAATCAGCTGTAAGCCTCATCCTGAGGGGACTCATGTGCCAGTTTATCACTGCACACAGAGATGATACATCATAGCTTATGCTTACCTTGCTCCCAAGAATGACCTCCAGAGCAACTCTAAGAGTAGTGTCACTGTCTCCTGTTCATCTCCTGCCTACAGGCTTGTCTTACAGCTGCAACTTCCTGACAATGCCTGAATGTTCATGTTTGGCATCTGTCCTATTGATGGTTCTAGTCTTGAGGATACCTTTGGGGCCAGACTTAGGAGATGGTACAGACAAAACCATTGCTTAATTGAACTACTATCAGGAAAAAGGTGGCAGGAGGTAGATATTGTAGGGGGATAGAACACAAGTAAATACAGGTAGTATAAAATGAATCTTAGCCCCTAAAGAGTTGCAGCTGGGTTAATTATTAGAGATTGGGATCAGGCCTGATTTTAACAGGCCACAGCTGTAGCCAATAAGAAGAGTGTTATAAAAGAGTGGATTGGTTGGCTGAAGGGGAATTGGAGTCAGTTGGCTCCTGTGAGGACAAGGAAGAGTCAGTGCCTAGAGGAGCTGCCTACGAGAAACATCAAGGAGGTATGAAACTCTAGCAATATAGAACTCTTGCAATATAATGATAATAGAACTCTTGCAATATAATGACAACAAGATATAACAATTAAAAGTAGGGAAAGAAGCTCCCTAGTAGTGAAGCTTATGATGTGCAACATGCAAACTAAAGGATGAGAAGTACAAAGTGGAATTTTCCTTAGGTGAATCAGTTCCAGCATAAATAAGCATGTGAGGAGCACTTGGTGGATAAGGATTGTCCTTTGCTAGTGCTATATGCACTACCATAAGTAGCAAGTAGCTCTAAAGAAATTGGTAGTGGAACAGGAGAGTAGGTTTGAGTGAGCTCAGGTTAAGACTTGAAACCTTCCCTTGGCTCTTGCAACGCTCTTCCTCTATGCCTCTAATAATCTTTCATTTAAAAGTTCTCCCTTAGAATTGATGCCCTAAAGTCTGGGCTCATAATGTTTGTTGCAGGAAGGACTCCTTGCTCTTTATGGTGAGAGAGACACCTCAACTAGAAATTGCAGCTAACCTCCAGTGTGTGGATATTTTGTATTGGTTAAGTTACTTCATAACATCTGAAATGAAGGCTGGACCAGGTACCAGAATACATTATTTGCACTAGTAGAAATAATTTCACATCATACTCTGCAGGAATTCAGACTTGTTCTATTTTTGGGCTTGAAACAGGAACAGCTTGAACAAGCTAGGTGATGTTTTATTTGAGACAAAGGTTTCTTTTTTCCTCAAAGGTTTTTTCAAGACATGAAGAAAGCCCATTTCAAATAATACTGCCAGAGTTAGATCTGCAAATGTAAGCTCTGTGGCCATGCACTGAGGTTGATTAATCAGTCGAGGTTAATTGAAATTGGTATGTTCATGTGAAGTCCTAGAGACTCACTTTGGAAATACATGAATCTGTAGGTCTGCAGTCTCCCTGACAGATGAATCTAGTCTTGAGGATTGCAAATTCGATCCCTGCTGTTACCAGTCCAGCCACAGGGGCCATTTAACAAAAGATCCCTGAGTTAATGATTGCTGTTCTATGACAGGGATATTGGACTTATTATACACTGAACACAAAGGTCTCTGATCCATATTTGTGCCTTGTTTCCTGCTTGGGATTCAGCACCACATGGTGGTAACTGTCTGCTTCATGCAGGAAAGAGTTCTGCTGTGATATCAGTGAGCGATAATATCAGAAGAACATCCATTTCCCATGAATTTAAACTATTACTGCAGTTAGGTGCAATTATTGAGAATCCCTGTAGAGACGTACAAAAATGTTGTCTCTGTCCAAAGATGTTGATTCTGGAATGTAGCAGTGCCAGTCTGACATGCTTAGTTTGGGGTCTCAGTGGCTGCTATAAATTGTACCCTGGAAAATGGTTACTAGGGCTATAAAGTATAGTGCTGCATTTCAAGCTCTATTTTAAGTATCAGTGGCTTTGTCAAGCTATACAGGTAATTTAAATCGAATTTATATGGTGAAAATAAGTTGAAGAGGAACAAATGGAATAAGATGACTTCATAACAAAGAATATTGACTTTGCATATTAACTTCATTAACTTAATGCAGTCTCTTGTGTATTGGGAAATTGTTCAAGTGAGAATAATAGCTTTTGAACTACTTACAGGCTAATAGGTAGTGATTGTAGTCACTAAGACTTTGAATAGCTGTGGCTGTTGATTACACAGATTAAATGTGAGTGCAGTTTTCAATATGGGTGATTTTCAAAAAACTCATTTTCTGTCCTTCATTTTGACTTTCATGGCTAATGACACTGACTTCTAATGCATATTAAATTCTGAGAGTGCATATTAAATTCTTCTTCCGTCTCAGAGGCATGACTGCAGAAGCTTCCATATGCTTATTCT